TAATCCTGTTTGACTTTGTGATTCTCTTTCTAATAAAGTACCAAAGTCAATATTAGAAGTACCACTTGCTTCAGCTTCAGCTTCAGAGATTTTAGAAGCTTCAGGATATTGAGCCATCTTTTTTTTAAGAGCTCTTTTTTCTTTTTTCTTTTCTTCTATTTCTTTTGCATAGGCTTTCATTTTTTGTTTAATCTAGTACAAAATAATCTAGTTCATTATAATCATCATCATCATTATTATTATCATTATCTGATTCAATTTCATCTCTTTTTAATATTCCTTTATGCCAACCATATTCTCCACTTAGAAATAGCAAAGGATATGCTAAAGGATTATATATACTATGTAATTCAGATATTCTTTCTAATTCATTATTATGTCTTACAATAAGAATATTGCTTACATGCATAGTTTCATCAGAAAAACAAATTGCAGCTACTTCCTTAGTTGATGGTGTATTATATTGTCTCATATCTTTGCCATGCTTATTATGTATTAAAATATAATATAGAGAATCTTGTAAATCCTCATTTCCTGCAGATATATAAGTATCTATAAAAGGATTTAAATCCATTAATACATTTTGGATAATACTTATCATTTCTCTGTTTAATGATTGCTTCATTATATTATGTCTTCTATTAATTTGTGCTTCAATATCTGAAGAATCATGAAAATATATTTGGAAAAATTTTGGTATTTCCTCTTGTTTTGGCAAAGCTGAGCTAATTTGATGATAATGATCACCCTGAATTCTATAACAATAGGCCCTCTTTTTTTTATTAGCAACATCCAAATCTAAATCAGTAGCAATTGATGTAAAAGCAAATACTTGATTATATACTTTTATTTTGTCAACAAATAGTACTTTAGATATTGGATCTTTTTCTGTAAGCAAATAATAAATTTCTGGTGGTGGTGCTTGAAGTGGTGCTAATACAACTTCACCATTCATGCAACAAAGTCCTGGTTTTTTCCCCTTCCATCTTAATATCTCACAATATTCACATTCAATGTCCATTTTCTCCACACTATGCTCCTCATTGTTTTTTTTATTATCACCATCATCATTGTCATAATTATTATCTTTACTATTATCCCCACCATCATCCCCATCATTATTCCCACCATCATCCCCATCATCATCTCCATCATCATTCACATCATTATCTCCATCATCATATCCATTATTATCTCTATTATTATCTCCAATCTCCTCCTAATATTCATCTAAACTACAATATCTTATTTTATAAAATTGTTCAAATTGTTATTGTTTTTTCTTTTTATATCTTTGTTTTGCACTTTCTCTATTTTTTTCTCTTTTTTCTTCTTTTTTTGCTTCACTCAAAGAAGCTCTATATTCTCATTGTCTATCTCTTTGTTTTTTTTTTTGTTTCTGATGATGCTTTAGAAGTTTTAGCAGTTCTAGACCTTGTTCTTGATAAAGGTCCTGCATCTCCTTCTTTTAATCTTTGGTAATGTTTAAATTTTACTTGTCATTTATTTCTTAATCTATTTTTTTTATCTGTTTTATCTTCTTTTTCAGGTGTTTCAGGTGCTACATATGTTTCTAAAATATAATCAGGAGTAGGTCTCTTTTCTCTTGTTTTTTTCTTTTCTTTTTTCTTTTTTTTTTCTTTTTTTTCTTTTGGCATTTTCTATCTCAATAAAAAAAAAATTATAATAAAATTATTAATTATTTGTATCATATGGGCTGATTTACAGAATTGGCCAATAACTTTTGATCCACCAGTCCTTTCGGATGATTTAACTACCAAAATGTCCATCTTAGTGAGAGGATTCTAACAAATCTAAAATCATTAAAATCCAATTACAGGATCTCGAGATAGTTTGAATTTTATATGATTTTAATAGTAAATTTAAAATTTTTAGATAAATATTTTAATCTCGAATAACTTTTGATCTAACAGTCCAGATTAAATGGTTTAACTACCAAAATGTTCACATCAATGAGGTGATTTCAACAAGCTCAAAATTGTTAAAATCCAATTACAGGATCCCGAGATAGTCAAGAATTTGTATCATTAGCCAATTACATTAAGGATTGGTTTTATATGTAAATTTATATATAAACCCAATCCTTAATGTGATTGGCTAATGATACAAATTCTTAACTATTTTTGGATCCTGTAATTGGATTTTAACGATTTTGAGCTTGTTGGAATCACCTCATTGAGATGAACATTTTGGTAGTTAACCATTCAATCTGGACTGGTAGATCAAAAGTTATTTGAGATTAAAATATTTATCTAAAAGTTTTAAATTTACTATTAAAATCATATAAAATTCAAACTATCTCAGGATCCTGTAATTGGATTTTAATGATTTTAGATTTGTTAGAATCCTTTTACTGAGACGAATATTTTGGTAGTTAAATCATTCAAAACGAACCAGTGGATCAAAAGTTATTAGCTAATTATGTAATTTATAAATAAAACAAAACATTTATTAAATAAATAATATAAATTTTTAAAATTTTTGCTTTAATTATAAATTTTTTACCTTCTTTTTAAATTTTACATGTTTTAATAAGTTTGTAAATTTAATATTAATTTATAATATTTTAATTAAAATTTTTATTAAACTTACTATTATTTAATTTATTTAATATTTTAACTAAAATTTATATTAAGTTAATTTATTAGTTTTAACAAAAAATTAGTAAAAAATTTAACAAAAATTGTGTTTTTCTATTTTTTTTAATTAAAAAAAGATTAAAAAACATTTTTTCCGAAGGTTTGATACAAACGTATCTATAGGTTACATGAATTTCAATATGTTATGCAAATTTCAGTACATTATACTGATACGTTACATTATGCTGATTTGTAACGTTTACTGGTAAAAAAATCAATTATTAACTAAATAATAACTAGTAATTTCTGGTACAAATTATAACTTATTTACTAGATAATTTGTGTCATTTATATATTTTTAGTTAATATGTTTAAATGCATATATTACCCAGTAAATATATAGTAAAAAAGAGTAAATAAGTTATAATTTGTACCAGAAATTACTGGTTATTATTTAGTTAATAATTGACTTTTTTACCAGTGGTTATACCGATTTTATCTATTTTTTATATTTATTTTTAATTAATTAATTAATTAATTATTTATTTATTTTTTTTAAAACGTATGTCGTATTATATATGTATTCACATGACCCCGATTTTGGGTCACTGACTATTTTCATGGAAATTCAAATTCCTGTAAGTTACGTGACTTCGTTGCTTTGTCAGAATTTCAAACTCCATTTTAGCGGAGTTTGAAACTTCTCTAATTTCGCAGGAATGCAAAATCCGAAGTCTTGTGACTTCATCGCACAATCAGAGTTTAAATTTCAATTGCCTTTTGCTCTTCTTTCACTTTACCTCTTTCTTTTTTGCCTTCCTTCTTCCCTCTTTCCCACTCTTCTATCTACTTCTACCCCATTTTCTCTTTATTTTCCCACTCCCCCACCTACTCTCCTTCGCCCCTCTCTCACCTGTCCCTCCCTTTCTATTTTAAAAAAAATTTATATTTTTTTTTTATCTACTATTCGGCAAATCTCTGTTACTTAATAAAAAAAGTAACACTTTTGCCTGCTTCACAGGCAAAAGCGTTACTTTTTTTATTAAGTGACTGAGACTTGCCAAATAGTAGAGAGTGGATGTAGCTAATCAATTGGTTCAAAACTACTAGCAAACACTATATTTTACTTTTAGCACAACTAATATATATAACTCTTTATTTACTTTTAGTTCTAATTATCTTCCAATTGAACTTCCTATACAATGCAGTATCAGAACTATATATCTTGTACATATTTTCACTAACTAGTCATCTCAAAATCAGTTCCAAAAATGAATTCCAATTGCCTTCTTAGTTCACTAGCAAGCAATCTGTTTCTACCTTAATAATAATCAAAAAACATCTAACTTTTCACACAACTTTCAATCCTCTATATACAAATCTTTAGAGTTAAATTACTTTTAGATGATTTACCAACACCTAATTATCTTCACAAAAGAAACTCTTACTCTAATAAATGCTACCTATGCTAACAAGAAAGTAACTCACTCTACTAGATATTTTGTCTATCTTCTGAGTATTTAACTTAATTTGAAACTTCTTACAACACATATTAAGTTATAACAAACTTCAAATTTTATATCTCCAAGTATACAACCTTCATTTCTCTATTTAAACCTTGATAGTCTTCAAGTTAATCAGCTTATTCACAAACTTTCCTTATTTTCTACACTTTCTAGCTTGGTGCTACTTGATATTATCAACATACTAAGTGAGTACACCACATCAAGCAAACTGTAAAATCTCTTATTATTAAACTTCTTCTTGAAATTAACTGCTCTTCATACATACCTATGATGTATCTAATACTCTACTTAGCCAAATACTAAATCTATCTCAACTAACTTACTATATAAAGTCAAAACATAGTATACTTACTGGACTAAATACCTAATATACCCATTTTATATTATCACTAACATCCAAATCTAGATGAGCCTTGGCCACTCTGGTTGGTTTAGGCTGCAGATAAAAAACCAGATTTGTCTATTGAGTATTTTTAGTTATTTAATTTTTTATTCTTAGCATTAGATTTATACAATAAAATTTTTTTGATTTTGTAAGAAATTTTATAATGATAAGAGCAAGGTCTTACCATTAATATAAAAAAAAAATAAAAAATAAAAATAAAAAAGTGCTACTACAATTTAAATTATAGCTATCAAAAATACAAATTATTTTGTATAAATAATTAGTTATAACAGTAATATACAGAGTTAAAAAGTATAGAACAAGATTTTGTATAAACCTTTTTTAAAAAAATAGTTTTAAATATTGTAGAATTAAGCTTAGTTAAACTTGATTAGCTAGTTTTTTGTTTAGATAATTAAACCAAATCCGATTTTTCAATATAAAAAATTAAATAGAAATAAATTATTAATAGCAAATTGATAACATTATAATATTACTAAAACCTAGAATCATATTAAAAATAATAGTAATAAAAATAATTCTGATTAGTAATCTTAAATAAGATATGATAAAAATCAAGCTAAGCCTTAAAAAGCCCTGAACTAATAAAAGATAGTGAAGAACTCATGAATAGATTGTTGTTAGATTAGTACAAGAGTGTTGTTGTAATAACACAGAACTATAATATAAAGAAAGAAAGTTGTAACATCTAGAGTAAGTCTATAAAAAGCCTATCTTCCAAAGAACCAAACCAAATCAAAAGGGTGATAGTCTGATATCTGTTGCCAGGGTGTAACAAAATTGATATAAAAATAATAAATCAGGCGGCAATGCTAACATTGTAATGAAAAATGAAGTTAGATAAAAGGTGTGAAAATTAGTATGATGGCATAATGTGAAGAAGAGTAAAAGGTTGTATTCTTCTAGCTTTTTTTACCTTTTTCTGTTCTCTCTATTTTATATAAATAGTGTGGCAATTTGCTACAGTTGTAAAGACAAAAGTTTGAATTTTGCACAATAAAATCCCTAAAAATCAGTTTTTTGCTCAAAGTGTCTCTCGTTTAAGTATCTCCTAAATCTCATTCGTAACAAATAATTTTTCCTTACCTTGCCAAATCTCTTTTGCCTCCTCTCCTCTTTTGGTTTTGTTGTATGTGTGGTTAGTTTTGTGTATAGTTCTCGAATGGTGACTATCCTGACCTGTTCATCCTCTTAGCAGTCCCGCTAACACCACCATGCTCCTGAATTATGAATAATGGGTTTTTCTATCAATAATATGTTATCTTGTCTAACTAAATATAATTATTATTTTGATCAACCAAGACGTTAAAAATCTGACATCGTTTAGTTGGCCGGCTAAGCCGTTCAGTCGGCTAATATCGGCCACGGCTAATAGCCGGTTATAGCCGTAGCCGTTCCCATCCCTAAACATACAATTTTGGTCATCTATATTATTATATTGATCTTCTGTAATCCCAATTTTGATTACCTCACTCTTTTAGGATTAAAGATCAACATGGCTTGGCTATAGTTGTTAGACGAAACCATGTGATGCTAAATGTCACATATCAAATCTTAATAAAATTAGGTTAAATTTTTTGGTCTTGGTATTTTGTGACAGGTGATATTTAGCATCACATGGTTTCGTCTAACAACTATAGGCTTGGCACAGACTTCAAACTCCTGTCGTAAAATATTACACAAGAAACAAGCTTTTTGTCTTAGCAAAGAAGTTTCATTGCAAGTCGACTTACTTACCTGTTGATTTAAATGGTGATTAAAAGGGGATCCGATCAACTAACCGACAATCACTTCTTAGACACCACATTTCACTGACAATTACTTACTGACAAGTTCGTTACACCGACAGTTTATTTCACCGAAACTCATTTTACAGACAAAGTAATTCTGATCAATATCATTAGGGTTAGGTTGAAATTAGAGTTAAAGTTAGTGTAATTTATAAAAAAAAACTTGCCGGTGAAACAGACTGTCGGTAAAATGAACTTGTCGATGAAATGTGGTGTCAATGAAGTTATTGTCGGTGAAATAGTAGGACCCTTTAAAAGGAAATACCAAAATTTTGTTAAAGCATAGTTTTTAGAGACATATACAAATTTTTTGCAGAAGTTCTCTTTGTATTTCAATAGGTTTACATGCACATTTAAAATAATGTAAAATTCAGAGCGAAACCGACTTACATGTACATATAAATTTATTATTATATGCTCTTATTTATTGTCTCTAGGCAATACCAGCGTTATAAAATTACTTACCAGGTATATTATATGAGTGTCGCCAAAAGAAACCCGACAATTTAAATATAGAATATATTTGAATTGTCGGGTTTCTTTTATCGACACTCATATATTGTTATTTTTCGAAATGTTTTGGAATTTAAGCGCGACCTTGCTCGTATTTTAGGTTCATTTCATTTTCCTTTCGGGACTTTTCGGAATATCTTTAGCCTATATCCCATATTTTATATTTAGACTAAATTTAGTGCAATAAAATTTTATAATTTATCTCGCACATCATTTTTTGCGCAACCTCCTTATCCTGCATATACATTTAGAATTTCTTTTGCTAAAAAAAAACCTACTTGCACTTGTTCAAGGCAATTTTAAACACTGAATACAAATCAGATTTCTAAATTAATATCTTAAATTACTATTTAAATATGGTATAATCGTATGTTAATAGCATTTATATAGTTAAATAAAAAATCAAAAAAATCAAATAAATAATAAAATTGGTTTTCCGATTGAACTATCATAAATGAGAGAAGATAATGATACTTTGGGTTTTTCGATTTTATAATTTGTTATTTGCCAAATTTGGCTTTTAAAAACCTGCTCGTAACATCTATGGCATGCAATATATATTACTGTCAGATTTTTTATGAGCTGAATTTAATAAATAAATGATAAACTTGAAAGTTCGAAGTTTCATTTTTTCTTGGCAGCGCTCTATACATTCCGGGTTCATACATTTAACCTACCCTACCCTATTTTATTTCGTATTATTATACAATACATATTATATCGTTCATTCGTTAGTTACATAAGCATAGCGGGCTTTATTATGATTGGTTTATTTTTGAAGATCATCTCGTCATATTAAAGTCTTATTAAAGTAACGATTTGCTGTCACAAGAATGGATCGGGGGCCACGAATACG